GGCTGAAAGCAGAGAATACCAGAAAGATGTTTACCTGTGTTTTATTGACTATGCAAAGGCATTCGACTGTGTGGATCATAACAAATTATGAAGAATGTTGTGAAGGATGGGAATCCCAGAACACTTAATTGTGCTCATGAGGAACCTGTACATAGACCAAGAGGCAGTTTTTCGAACAGAACGAGTGGATACTGCATGGTTTAAAATCAAGAAAGGTGTGCGTCAGGGTTGTATTCTTTCACCATACTTATTCAATCTGTATGCTGAGCAAATAATCCAAGAAGCTGGACCATATGAAGAAAAACGGGGCATCGGGATTAGAGGAATACTTATCAACAACCTGTGATATGCAGAGGACACAACCTTGCTTGCTGAAAGTGAAGAGGACTTGAGGCACTTATTGATGAAGATCAAAGACTGTAGCCTTCGGTATGGATTACACTTCAGCATAAAGGAAACAAAAATCCTCACAACTAGACCGATTAGCAACATCATGATAAGTGGAGAAAAGATTGAAATTGTCAAGGATTTCATTTTACTTGAATCTACAGTCAACACCCATGGAAGCAGAAGTGAAGAAATCAAATGATGCATTGCATCGAGCAAATCTTCTGCAAAAGACCTCTTTAAAGTGTTAAAAAGCAAAGACGTCACTTTGAAGACAAAGGTTTACCTGACCCAAGCCATAGTATTTTCGGTCCCCTCATATGCATGTGAAAGCTGGACAATGAATAAAGAAGACCAAAGAAGAATTGATGCCTTTAAATTATGGTGTAGGCGAAGAATATTGAATATACCACGGACTGCTAGAAAAACAACCAAGTCTGTCTTAGAAGAAGTACAGTCAGAATGCTCTTTACAATGGAGGATGATAAGACTTTGTCTCCCGTACTTTGTACATGTTATCAGAAGGGACCCGTCCCTGGAGAAGGACATCATACTTGGTAAAGTGGAGGGTCTTTGAAAAAGAGGAAGACCCTCAAGGAGAAGGATTGACACAATGGCTGCAACAGTGGGTTCAAACATGACAATGACTGTGAGGATGGTACAGGACCAGGCAGTGTTTCATTCTGTTGTACATGGGGTTCCTATGAGTCAGAACTGACTCAAGGGCACCTAACAACAATAACAACAACAACAACTCAATAAGTATGTTTTAGACTAGTTATATCCTGAAAAAGAATAAATAAAAAACTTACAGAGATTAAATAAATAAAACAAAAGAGGTGTTTTATTAATATCAGTAATCATTGCCTCATACTGAGCCATTATCTAAAAACTACATGTTTTATATCAGAGAAATATTTACTAATGTAGAAGTTTTCTTCTAAAGAGTCCATAGTTATATATGCTTATTTACAGAAACAGTTAGTGGAGAAAAAGCAACACTTCTAAATGCTTATTTTGGTGGAAATCACATCCATGTTTGTTTATTAAGGAACAATGAGCATTTCACTCCATTTCCATATTATAGGGAGGTTTTGAGGAGACTGGCTAAGTGGTCCTAATCAGAGACAGAGTTTCACATCCGTTCAAGATTACGATAAGCTTGATTTTACTGATCATGGCAAGATGGAGCATGATCAACATCTTATTCTGCTTCAAAAAAGCAGCAGCAACAGCAGTGCTTTGGGTTAACATCTAATGCTAAGAGTGGAGGGAAAACAGTTTTTACATCACTAAAAGAATGGTGAAGCTACAGGGAAACTATTACTACTAATGTTTTTATTATTTCCAGATGTGTATGCCTGATTTAGATACCAGAACATAAATTAATGAATTCTGTCCTACTTTAATGTCAGCTGATGAAAGAGCTAGAAGGGAAAAAAGTATAAATTGTTAATCTAAAGGTTTCTAATCTCTATTCATCCAAACATCTGTTTCTTTTTCTCCCCTCCTCCCCAGTCCCCTCCTGTACCTCATACTGGACTTATATCAGTTACCCACTTAATAAATACTTCTATCCTATTCATTCCAAACACTCAAACCTATTACCAAATAATTTATTCCTCCTATTGGGGGAAAAAAATCTCCCCCAAGTAGATATCTAAGTTTCTTGTAAATGTTTCTCTATTTTCTTCTTTGAGAATTGTGTCTACTCCAAGTTGTTTCCAATTAACTTGGAGTTTAGCAGTATTTATTTTATAATCTGCCCACTTAGAAGGATCAGGCACTTAACTCATCTTAACAAGATGAAACCTTCGAACAAACATGGACTAAATGAATTAAAACATTTCTTAAACCTACCATTTGTCACACCTAATCTTCATTATATTAGCAGGAGTATTAAATGACAATAAAAAATAGTAATATGAGAAAGAAAAGTGCTCTTGAAATTAGAATGCTCTGTTAATTTTCTTTCTTTTTTCTTCCTAAGGAATCTCTCCTATTGGCCAGGTTATTGTGACATGATTAATGGCACAGGTAAGGACACCTTGTTTTGTGGTAAGAATCGAATGAAACCACCTCGCCCTTTCCCACAAATCCACCATCATATCTACTGTGTTCTCAAAGCTGAGGGTGTGTGTTTGTCTTTATATCCCCACAGCATAAAAGGTCTCTATTTTAACATAGGCTTAATAAATGTATGTTTAATGTGACGAGCTTCCTGAAGATTAACCATAGAGGATTTGCTCTTACTGCATTACTAGGGAAAGATTTGCTTTGTAAAAACTACTCCGTGATCTCCCAGGCTGGCAGCAGAAATAAGGTTTAAAAAAACCTAGGGTAGTTACTGTTCACTTCTTTGTTAATACTGTGGAATTAGAATTTCAACTCAGAATTGAAAGAAAAAAAATTAAGATAATTTCAAAAGGGAAAACAAAAAAAGTGAAGTTTAAAGCTGGGGTAGAATCAGTGATGGTACAAGACAGAGCCATGTATTTTGGAAAAGATGGTCAGAATTGAGAGAGAAAAGAAAAACACAACAAAACAAAGGTTAGATATCTAATAACCATGGAAAATATATGAAAAAATGAGCATTTTGAATTAGAACTGGGAAGAAAGAAAGCACTATGAATTTAGGGTGTGGTTAGTTCTGGTGTATTATTCCCTTTGAAGAAAAAACAAAGTACAAATATGCCGATTAGCTTAAGTAGGAAGACTTTTAAAAGCAATGGGAATCTAATCCATGAGGTGATTAAAGTCAGAGGTGAGCTTTGAACTACTAAGAAGCAGAAGCATGATGTTTACAAAGTTAGTGAGGGTTAGTACACTATAGAAAAATGATATAACAAAGATGAATAAAGTTAAATGAAAAGTTACATGAAAAGGAGCAATTAAAAAGAAATACAGAGAATTCTTACTTTTTCAAAGGTAGGGTTGAGTTTTGTATGCTTATTTAATTTTCTTATCCCTCACTTGTAGAAAAAAAGCAACAACTGGTTGATTTACTTTGTGAGTTTTTGAGCTGTGGGGATAGGTGAAGACATTCCTTTCTGAATAAAGCATTTTTGTAAATAAAGCATCAAGTGTTCAAGTAATACTAACTATAGTAGTTGTATAAGCATAATACTTCAGTCCTTAGATATGGACATAAATAAACTGTGCTGCTCCTAAACAGGGAAGGTGTCTTTATGTACTTACGAAAAAAAAATCATTAAATAATGCTGTCCACAGCTGAGTAGATATTTTTAACAAGAGGAGGTAGAAGATTAATTAATGGCAATAATATAAATCCATGAGCCTCGGTATGAAGTTAAAAGTATCTACAAGGAAACTAGAAGTAAAACAAACTGGAGCAGAGATAGATGGGACAGGGCAGGGGACTAAGATGTGATCCCTGTGAGAGAGATTCTTGGTTAGGGTGCCAGGGAAAAGAGACTAATGAAACAAAAAGGTTCCAATGTGTTTTCATCATGATTTAGAAGTGCTTCCTCTACTTCCTTCAATAAGTCTGAAGAAACATAAAAAGAAATTGTTGGTATACATTTAGAATATTTTCTTTTTCTAAAATAACAATAACAACAATAAAACCCTGCTAGTATCAGCTATCTTGTGGTTATTGCCCGAGGTAATTGCCAGATAGAATAAAATCTTCAATGATATTTCATATAATGATTTCTAAAGCTTTTAAATGTATTCTTTTCATTTAATTGTTAAGGCATGTGGAAAGCAGTTGTGGGCAATAGACATATGGAGACCTATATGGGAAATGTAAGCTAGAGTTTAATCTCCAATTCTCTCAAGTACCAGGATCAAGCGGCGATCACAAAAAAACTAAAGGTGAAATTATAATAAGGTCACAGGGTTGGAGTACTTGCTAGAGAAAGAACCTAATTGTTGTAAACAGGCACGTTGAGCAAGGGCTAATTTTGGCAATATGAATTGGAGGAGCAAATGGAGATGTTATCTGGTTATTTTTTCTTTCATATATCTAGTGTGTGCCATAGGATAATAACCATGATAGAAATTCAATAACCTCAATAAATGCCCTTTATAATTTGATAGAAATATTTTCAAGCCATTGGCAGGAAATTCTGAGTGAGAGAACTTGAATAAATAGTTTTTAAAATGTTAAACAGCCACTGGTTAAACCTGTTGCCATCAAGTTGATTCTGTCTCATAGCAACCCTATAGGACAGAATAGAACTGCCCCACAGGGTTTCCAAGGAGTGGCTGGTAGATTCGAAATCCCGTCCTTCTGGTTAGCAGCCGAGCTCTTAACCACTGCACCACCAGGACTCCATAAATAAATAAATCATTATCAAAAATAAGAACAACACAAATATAATAAACATTCTAAATGAACTCATGATAAGAAAATGCCACTCTAATGATGAAGCTGAGGGTGGGGTTTCCAAACACAAACACAGTCAGACTTTCAACAATGAATGATACCACCACTCTTTCTTAAATGTTTATTTTATTTTAAGGAATGAGAAAATTTAATATGAAATTGAATACCAGTGAATGTGTATAGTATATAGATGTGTTGTCCAATATGGTAGCGACTAGCCACATGTAGCTATTGAGTACTTGAAATGTGACTAGAACAAACTGAAATGTACTATAAGTGTAAAATACACATCGAATTTTGAGATTTTGATAATATAACTATTTTATTAAAAATTTTATATTGATTACATGTTGAAATTATAATATTTGGGATATATTGAGTTAAATAACATATACCTTTTCTTTTTACTTTTTAAAATGTCTAATAGAAAATTTAAAGTTGTGTGGGTGGTTTGCATTATATTTCTATTGGACCACACTGGAATAGAGATTTCCAGATTTTTCTAGAGCACACATTAATATCACTTGCTTGATTTCTAAACAGATGCAGCCTCATTTCCCCCTTTTGTTGAGAAGACCCGGGTGTTGCAGTTCTTTTCCTCTGACATATGCAGGTAAAACTAAGACACCAATATATTCCTGTGAGTCAGAATTTTTTTTTCCCAACTGACAAGATACAAACCAAGAAGGTTATACTTAATAACCATGTCATTTGGAGGAAAAAAAAATCGGAGAATTTTTTTCTTTATTTAAAAAAAAAAAATACAATATGAAATTTGTGTCTATTAATGCCATTATCTCTTTAAAACTGGAAAGATGGTAGTAGGATATTATGCATAATGCAAAAGATTTTTCTTTTTTTCATTTCTTTCTAAGAAAGAACTGTTTTTCTTTTCTTTCATTAAACTAGTACTATATATTGTTACTATATTTAATAACAATCTAGTCTACAAGAGCATGTACAATCTTTCTAAAGATTTCCAGAGATGATGATGAAACTGTTACAGAACTATGTTAGTTAATGTGCTGGACCGCTGCTACAGCATGTTTTCAGATTGGTGAGGCCCAGTCAATACAACACAAGCATTGGAGCCCATGCTGCCATTATGCTCAAATCCAGGCCAGTCCCTAAAGATTGCATGGTTGTGGGGAAGCATTTAACGTCTCCGACTCTTGTTTCCCTTATCTGTAAAACTGAAGAGAACAGTGCTTCTTCACGTAGGGTTATCTAAGGGATTAGAAGGATGAGTATTGAGCCCTAGGCCATGGTGGACACTTGGTAAATTATGGAGGTGTATGAGATCTATATCCAGCATGCACAGGCACATACCCAAGTGACTAAATGGCCTTTCTTTCCAGGATTAAGTTTTGAAAGACAGAAGCTTTATTTTTATTTCTTTGAATTGGGCACAGATAAGGGATTGAAGGAGTTCGTATAAATATTTATTATATACAGAAAATTAACTCTGAGAAATATCTTTAGTATCAGTACTCCATGGTAGTTCACAAGCATAAACTGGTCTCAGAAGCTTTTCAGAACAAGGGGAAGAATAGTTCATACTCAGGTATCAAGTTTTGGTATGTCTTAAAATTTCACAAGAACTGTTTTCCTAAGATTAAATAAGAATTTAAAATTCTAACAAGAGTATAGTATATTTTCCTAAATTAAAGCAAGAATATAAAACTAAAAAAAATCTCCAGAATGTGTTTCAGGTTCCTGAAATGAAGCTCTCTCTCTCTTTCTTTAATCTACGTCTAGGTCAGTCTATGCTGTGTTTGGATCTGAAATTAATCTGAAAGGAATTCCTGTGTATAGATTTGTTCTTCCACCCAAGGCCTTTGCATCTCCACTTCAAAATCCAGACAATCAGTGTTTCTGCACAGAAACAATTGTCTCAAAGAATTGCACATCATATGGTGTCCTAGACATTGGCAAATGCAAAGAAGGTGAGTAAATATTTTTAATATCATGGTCCATGGCATCATTTCCAGATTCTTTAAAATGTAGCATTTACCATGAATCTCTTTCCACCTAAAGTTCTAATATTAAAGTAATAAAACATAAGGACAAAAAAGTAAGGGTGGTGCTAGGAAATTTTTGGTGTTGATTTTCTATTGTTTTTGAAGTCCTAGTTGTGTTGCAAAACTTAGTTATCATTAGGTAAACACTACCTGTATTTCCTTCTGCTACTTTTGGATTTGGGTAAAATAAAAATAATCTCCAGAATACCCTGAGTGAGTGTCTCAAATTATCTATCTGACATTTTTTCTAGCTTTGCCATCCTTCTTGTTGTGTGCCATTGAGTCGATTCTGACTCGTATTGACCCTATAGGACAGAGTACAACAGCCCCATAGGGTTTCCAAGGAGTGGCCGGTGGATTCGAACTGCCAACCTTTTTGGTTAGCAGCCTAAGCTCTTAGAGTAAATATAAGTAAACATACTTTCAGTATGTCTCTGAAACAAGAATTGACTTAAACACGAAGTTTGAAGTCAGTCTTATCTTGTTCACTTTTGTCATACTGGAATGCGGTGGAGAAAGAAAGAAAAAACTACTCTTAAAGAAATTAATTCTCAGTCAGTGGACGTATGCTTGAAACGTGAACATGTATGGTTGAAACTTTGTGTTAAGAGGCTAACCTTACACATTGAACATTTACAGCTTGAGTATGACCAACAGACATCAACTGACTCTTTAGTAGGAAGATCTAGAAATTTATGTTTTACTTTTGTACAAAAGTGATGTGATATTATAGTTCTCCCTCATCCTCATCCCCCCCACCCCAATTCAGTATTCGAAACCCAGCATGCATTTTTTTTTAATTTGAAAAGCTTTATTTTAAATTAAATCTTCTCTGAGTGGTTCTTGAAATGGGGAAAATGATTCCCAATTGTCTCTTAAAACTTGTTTTCAGGAAAACCTGTATACATTTCACTTCCTCATTTTCTATATGCAAGCTCGGATGTTATGGAACCTATTGAAGGCTTACATCCAAATGAAGAAGAACACAGGACATATTTGGATGTTGAACCTGTAAGCAAATATATTATTGGTCTGATTTTGTTAATATTAATTTTTAAAAATTAAAATGAAAGAAAAAAATAAATTCTCTCTTTGTCAACCACAATTTATTGATCAGATTACTACTTTATTGATAAATTACTGAAACTTTCATTTCAGTGAAAATTACATTGGTTTCTTCCTATTGTTGCATACAAAATGTCAAGATATGAACTCTATAAACTTTTTAAATAGTTCATGGGGTCAGAAATACCAATAATGGAAATGATTCTAATCGACTTTAAACAATTTGATACAAATTACTCTTCTATGCTTATTTTAAACTTATTAAGATAGTTTTTATTCTCTTTTTAGACAACTGGATTTACTTTACAATTTGCAAAACGGCTGCAGGTCAATCTATTGGTCAAGCCAGCAAGAAAAATTGAGTGAGTGTCTTGAACAAGGTTATCGTTATATGATTTTTATTATTTTCTTGGAAGAATGTGAGTGAATCTATGAAAGCGAGCAGAAAGAATATCAAATATCAACTTCTCTTTAGTTTAATGTCATTAAACATTCTATATTAAATGCTTATGATTACAATTTAGAATCATATCTAGTATTGATTGAAATGGTATTTACACATATTTTATAATGTTTTCTGTTTATTTGGTGACATCTCTCATTTTGCTAGCTATCCAAATATTTCTGTTACAGTAATTTCTAGAATTCATATTTTACCTTCAAGAGTAGAATTTGTTGAAAGGGAAAATCTGAGCTTAGGAAAGAGTCAATCTAATATATTAGAAAGAATTATAAGAGTGGAAAAAGTCTAAGAAACAGCTGTATTAAAATTTAAATGACCCATTATTGGGAAAAAACATCAAGAAACTCAAGCAATTTTCAAGGACAAATGAATTCATTTGTTTGAAGTAATAATTACTAAAATCTCTGTTACATATGGAGCCCTGGTGGCACAGTGGTTAAGAGCTATGGCTGCTAACCTAAAGGTCAGCAGTTTGAATCCACCAGCCGCTCCTTGTAAACCCTGTAGGACAGTTTTACTATGTCCTATAGGGTTACTATGAGTCAGAATCCACTCGTCGGCAACGTTTTTTTTTTCGGGTTCTGTTATGTATGCATACATATATTAGCATATATTTCCATCGTTATTTTCAATGTCTATTACAGGGCATTAAAGGGTCTGAAGAAGAACTATATTGTACCTGTCCTTTGGCTTAATGAGGTTAGTATTTTAATCTATTAGTCATTAAAGCAGTAAACATCTTTGTATATAAAAATACTCTTGATATTTCAAAATAGGATATGCATGTATAGTATTTGAAATCGTATGCATTTTTATTGCCCATTACAAAATACTGATGAGTTTATGCATTATTGATTACACCTACTTGAGAAAACCAAATCACACAGGAATATCAAGTTTGTGTTAGTTTTCAGTTTTATCTTTTAGGAAAACAAAGCACTTACTGTCATTTGAGATTATTTTCAAAATGCATCTGTTAAACACTTCTTGTCTAAGAGATTTTCTTAGAAAAGAGGCATGCATACATGTAAGTCCAAATAAATCAAAGCCCAGTGAATATTATAGTTCTAATAAAAGCCTACTGGTGGCACATTGGTTCAGCACTCAACTGCTAACCAAAATGTTGGAGGTTCAAACTCACCCAGCGGTTCTGTAGGAGAAAGACCTGCCATCTGCTTCCTACGCCAAAAATATCCCCTGAATTCTTCTTTAAAGCAAACAATATCCAGTGCTGTCAAGTCAATTCCAACTCATAGCGGCCCTGTAAGATAGACTAGAACTACCCTACAGGGTTTCCAAGGCTGTAAATCTTTACAGAAGCAGACTGCCACATCTTTCTCCCACAGAGTGGCTGGTGGATTCAAACCACTGACCTTTTTGGTTAGCAGCCCAGCGATTAACCACTGTGCCACCAGAGCTCCTAACCAAATAATAGGTGAGCTTAATTAGTAAAGAGTGCCTGCCTTAAGCGTTGTGCTCTTTTAAAGAACTATCTATATGGAATCAATTGACAACGTTAACTTGATAAGTTCGATAGGAAGCTTAGAGAGCAGTGAGTTTATGTTAATGGTGGAGGAACAACTCAGAAAAGGAGGGTGAGAGTGATTGCACAGCATGAAGATTGTAATCAGTGTCACTGAATTGTACATGTAGAAACTGTTGAATTGTTGTATGTTTTGCTGTGTCTATTTTCAACAAAAACAACAACAAAAAGATTACAGCCAAGAAAACCCTGTGGAGTAGTTCTACTCTGTCACAGGGGGTCACTATGAATCGGAATCAATGTGATGGCATCTAACAACAACGACAACAATAAAAGCCTACTATGCTTATAAAGACCAGGTTAGAGTAGGCATAGGCACTCTATTCAATTGCTTGGCAAGATATTTTTAGTGTAAAATAAAACCAGAGGCGATTATCCACAGAGTGAGCAAATGCATTGCATAGACTTTAAAGGGACTGAAACTATTGACTCTTGACATTTCCCTCTGTTCCTGGAAAATATCTTTTAGAAAATTGTGAAGTATTTCAGAGAGACGATTTTGAAAATCAAGTGAGGCCTAATACATTGAAGATTGCTGTACGATGTGTTTAATAAGGAGGGGATTATATTTCACTTTTAAATACTCTATCTTGGCATTTACTGCCTTCTTTGGCAATCAAAGGGAATTCTGTTGGTTTGTTTTATAAATGCAGGTGACTAACGTATACAGGTGTTTGGAGGAAAGGGTGGTATATAACTGGAAGATATGAGTGTTTTTCTTCACTAATCTACCCACATAATGCTAATTATTAATTTGATTACAGACTGGTACCATCGGTGATGAAAAAGCAGAAAAGTTCAGAAAACAAGTGACTGGAAAAATGAGGCTCCTTGGACTGGTTGAAATGGTCTTGCTTAGTGTTGGTGTGGTGATGTTTGTTGCTTTTATGATTTCATACTGTGCATGCAGATCAAAGGAAGTAAAATAAGTAAGTATAGGCAAAAAAATCTATTACTGCAGTAGCATTCATTTATATATTATTCCTTGTTTTCCTTTTGTCAAAGAGGGGTTAAAATTAAATCTTAAATATTTCTGGACATGCCTAGCAAACTATCATTTTAATACCTCAGCAAGTTTTTCAGGTGTTTAATGTAATTAAATTAAGATGTAAATGAAGACATCTTTAATTCTGGGAGAAATAAGATAAAAGAGGTAATTGTCATCTTTGTGAGGTTAGTACAAATATCACTTTTGTCCAAAATTTTGACTTGTTCATTTCTCTATTATTTATAACCAGTTAATTACTAAAGAAATCACAAATACTTAATTTAGTATTTTAGTGACTAGGAAAAGTCATAAAAGTTAAGAAATGGTGGGTATTTGAGGAGATCAAAATTTACAAAATTCTTTCAAGGAAACGTAAATAACACGAAAAATTAAGTACAATATATCAGTTAAATATCAATTAATCAATAATAAAAAGTAATAAGAGAACTAAAAACAATAAGAAAAGAGATAGTTAAAATAAGATAAAAATATGCTATTTTAAAAATAAAAGCTGAAGTAAAAGATAAAGTATTAATATAAAAGCAGGATTGCTGCATGCAGACTTGCTGGCCACGTGCTATCCAATTCCAGGTGTGCACCCTAAATTGCAGTGCAAAAGCCCTGATGAATGATTGAAAGTCATGAACTAAAACCTAAATATAACCGTAGAAAAGAATAGGGGGAAATAGTTTTCTACGCAGTAAAACCAAATCACTCAGAGTTTAGAGGAAAAACCAGGTAAATGTGGACAAGATCTAAGAGTTTGTGGCAAAGTTGTGGAGGTGGTTCTATCCTCTGTGCTTTAGATTATTGGTGGCATGTCTCCTTGTGCATAAACAGGAATGACTGGCTATTTTTAGGGAGGCAACTCAATCTTTTTTTCTGACCATTACTGCCACTGTTGTTTAATCACTGAAAAGGAGACTGAACAGTTCACCTACAATCTGTTTGGACAGAATGTATCTAAATGCTAACCTAAAATAGTCATATCATAATAAACGAAGGAAATATTACATCATCTTGTCGTTAGCCCAGTACAAATAACTTATGATTAAACAAAGATGTTCATATGACAATTTATATAGTAGACAGAAAAGATTGTCGCCTGAAAAGCAAAGCAGAACAACAACAAAAACTTGTTCTAGTGGGAAAACTTACTTTCAAAAGGAAATAGAGATAGTTCCAAATATGTTTTGTAAGTGTTCTGCATTGAAATTATATGATAAATTTCATCACTATCTAATGAGCCCTGAATTTCACATTCTTTGGTCCATTTATGGGTAGGTTATGGTAAAGAATTGAAAACTTTCCAGAGTGTCATTGTCAACAAATATATTAGTTTTGCTGATATATTTGACAGTTATAAGGAACAGTTACTGTCCTTTTCGAGGGTATATGTCCTTGTTTACTTTACATGTAGAGAAAAAAAAAAAATATCTTTGACCATTACTTGATGATGTACTAGATTTGTAAGAATCACTGGGGATGTAGATTTCCTTAAACAAGCCTCAATGTTGAATAGTCTAAAAATTATGTCTTTGGGCAGATTTACGATCATTGAAAAAAGCAGATCGATGTACAGAAGGGATTAAAGTATAGGATGGTGGAGCACAGGAGTAGTTTTATTGGATGGGCTACAAAGAGAATAAAACGATGGTCTTTATGAAAGTAGTAGTATATACTACACTACATACTAACAACTCTAAAGGAAAGATGGTCTGGAGGGAGAGCAAAAAAGTGTGAAAATGCTTGTCTGGAGTAGATGTAGCTGACTGTCATCACTCCTCTTCTGGCTATGTGTTGCTTCTCGGAGTTGGGGAACAGCCTTCCACTCATCTTTCATGAATGGGGACATGAACTGCTTTATCCACGAGCCCCATCAGAGAATTTTTTTCTCTGCAGCTTGAAAAATTGGGCTGAATAATACAAAGTGTGACATCTTGGATACTTAGAATTTTAGTATTACATTTTCATAATTCCACTACTTTCTGAGACGTAGTAACATTTCTTCTACTTTATAGGCAGCAAATGGAGTCTTTGCACTTATGCACCAGCTACATCAGAACATCTGGTAACATCGGTCTACAAAATGAAGATGTAATATGCTTTATTTTTACAAAACACACCTTACCTTTAGTGGAAGAAACGACGGCATTACTTTTTTGCCCCAACCAGCAGCACGTTTCTAAAGGATTATCAAGGTGCCATTAAAATCCATACTATGAACCAAAAACCACATGCCTTCTAAAAGTCATCACTTACAAAACTGATCTGATTTCAGTTTCTACAGACCTGGCTCAAGCATGAACCAGTTTGGTACTGATTCACTAACTGGTTCCCTGGTGGCATATTCAGCAGAGGTTGTGGACATCTAAACAAATCCTGTCTTCCTCATCAAGGTGTAAGCACCATCATCCTCACCAGGGTCCTGTCCCTGTTTGGTTGTAACAGGCAGATCCCAGGACTTTCAATAGTACATCACACTTTATGGGCACCAAATATTTTGAAAGACATTTAATAATGAAAAAGAAGTGACTGGCTTATTGGTTTATCAGCCGTTTATTATCTACTACTTCAGTTTCTTTATGGAAGCTTTGTACAGCCACAGTAGGTATCATAACCATTTTTCTTCCTTTCTAACAATATGGGCTTATATATATTTTGTCACTGAACATGCAAATGGATATCCTTTTTAGCACATTTTGGCTCTTTATGTTTAAGGACTTTGTCACTTTCCAAGTTCTGCAACTGTTCTGGAAAATCTGAGTAGACTTTGACCTTTCTATGCAGCTGTAACTTATGCTTGGCAACCTGAGAATGCTGTGCTAGTATTAAAAGATGTAAATGATAATAAAGGAATTATTGTATGGAAGATTCCAAAGAGTAGAAAGTGCATTAACAGTTGGTTCTAGTATATCTTGCTTTCACAGAGACCTCAGAAAGACTGTTTCAACCATTAAAAGATCTTCTTTCAGTTTCAGTGCTTTGCCGAGTTCCTGTGCTGTTGCAAAAATTTTGCTTTAATTTTCTGTCTGAGGTATTCTTTCTGAATCCGTATATCTTTATGAATTCATGTTTCTTTCTGAAATATTCTGTCTGAATTCAATTTTGACCACTTTCTACTAGGCAATTTTTAAGCCAATTGAAGGAAAATTTAAAAAAGATAATTTGATTTTGTGTTTTACAGCAGCTGGAATTGAGGTCTCGACTGTGCAGTTATCTTTTTATTAGCAGACACATTGATAGGTAACCCTGCTTTCTTTAGCAGAGATTCACTGATTGCAGAGAATACTAATCTTCCTTAAAATCTCCAGCATAGAAGGGGAATCCAGCCCAATTCTGCCTTGTGATTTACACACGGAGGAATGCAGGATGAAGAAGTAGTAACTGGCTTGTTGGCATACTGAAATTAAGAATAACTTGGCCTCCTTATACAAGATACCAGGGTAAATGCTGAAAAATCCTACTGAAAACCCAAAAGCAAGACACCATAGATTTGGAGGGCTCTGAAAAATCCATAGAGACTCAAAATATGCTGATTGAGTGCCTTGCCATTTAATTGGAGGAAAAAAAGTATTATTCTAAGATATTGATATGTAAGATGATTTTCTAGACATCCTCCCTGATAATCAAAATAAAAGTATACTTTCTTTATATTAGTGTGTTTGGGGATATGTTAATCTAAAAGAAATAAAAAGGAAAATTCTTTAATTGTTGAGATATGTAGTGATAAACTATGTAAAGTGGAAACTGTGCAAAAGAGTTGAGTGAGGAAATAACCTATGTACCTCACATAAGGTCTATACAGCCAATCAATGTCTCTGATCTTAACATCGTCATACAGAAATTATTTTCCACATCATGACATTTAAGTATCTGGGAAAAGATTTCGATTTCTGTGTCCTTAGTATTGTTTAACTAAATACATATATATTCCAGTCTTGTTTTCATTCCTCAGCGTATCCTTTCTCTAAATTCTATAAAATATGTACAAAAGACAATCCGTATACAAAGACAAATGGATTATCTTAAAGATATCCAGTAGGAAAAATTATACTTTCTTCAAATAATGAGAGGTAGGCTTTTTGATAAGAAAAACGGCAGTTTAGATTTGTGTGTGTGTGTATGTTTTGGGGTAGGGGGCACTTTTGGATGTATATTAAATGTGTGACTTTTTGTTTTACCCTAGTGAAAGTGTTTGGTTTTCAGTGAGGGTAAATGTTTGACTGTTTATTATTGTATATGGATGAAATTGTATGCTTTATTCCATATAAAGACTGCACCATTTTGTGGATACGCACATTTTCATTCCAAACTATATTTATAAACCCACAAAACTATGGTTGTTGTTCATAACTTAATTTTGAAAATCTATAGCATCTGCAAATGGGTTAATGCTTATTGTTGCTTATAAGTGCATTAAGAAATAGAACAGCAGTCTTTGTAGCTTTCAGTTTTCAAGAAAAAAAGGGAAAGGTGGAATCATTTCAGGAAAAAAGAAGCTATGAGTAAATTGGTTATCTCCAAAAATTCACTCTGTAAAGGTGCTGAATGTTTGCATTAAGATTTGTACATGTGCGATAATCCACCAGTCTTTTAACCCATTATCAATGTCTGAGCAACACAATAATTATCTTTCTAGCTGGAGTTTGTAGTGGGTGTGTTCCAATTGATAATTCAGTTTTTTTGTTCTAAGTCCATTGAATTAGTGACACTGTGGCCCCTCCCTCTGTACCTGACTCTTTTGGCCTATCGACCTTTGTAAGTGGATTTTGGACTCTATTTGAATCATCACTGTCCATTATTATTTTCTTCAGATAACAACAGAATTGCCTATGAGTGATTGTCCCTAACTTTATTTCAGTGAGCTGAACAAATTGACATGGATTGAATTATGTCCCCCAAAAAATGTGTGTGTCAGTTTGGCTGGGCCATGATTCCTGGTACTGTGTGATTTTCCTACGTGTTGTAAATCCTGCCTCTATGATGTTAATGAGGGAGGATGGGTGGCAGTTGTGTTAGTAAGGCAGGACTTAATCTACAAGACTGGATTGTGTCCTGAGGCAATCTCTTGAGATATAAAAGACAGAAGTGAGCAATGAGACTGGGGGCCTCATACCATCAAGAAAGCAGTGCCGGAGCAGAGCGCATCCTTTGGACCTGGGGTCCCTGCACAGAGAAGCTCCTAGTCCGGGGGAACACCGAAGGAAAGAAGGCCAACAGAGAGAAAAAGCCTTCCCCAGGAGCTGATGCCCTGAATTTGGACTTTTAGCCTACTTTAACTGTGAGGAAATAAATTTCTCTTTGTTAAAGCCATCCACTTGTGGTATTTCTGTTGTAGCAGCACTAGATGACTAAGACACAAATGAACTAAAAAAAAGTTACTGTTTTATGTTTGTAGGAAACATACACTGCAACAGTCTGCTCTTTCGTTTTTGTGGCTCAAACGTAGCTGGAATTTTAACTATTTGTGAAAATAAATACTTATTAAAACATGATTCTATTTTTTTAGTGTACTTGACTTGCGTGCTGTTTAATAATGCTACTATAATTTTATACCGTGTATTGTCTACTCATGAGTTATTTATATATCATGCCTCGTTTCTTTTCCCATCTGTTCTCAGATGTTGTTGTTAGTTGCCATTTAGTTGGCCACTGACTCATGGTGACCCATGTATTACTGAGTAGAACTGCTCCATAGGGTTTTCTTGGCCATAATCTTTATGAAAGAAGATCACCAGGCCTTTCTTCCATGGTGCCACTGGGTGGGTTTGAACCACCAACCTTCCAGATAGCAGCCAATTGCAAACTGCTTGCACCACCCTGCTTCCTAGTTGTTTGTGTCTATACATCTCAATAATACTCCATCGTACATATTCATGAAGGGGAATTGTGATATAACTAGGACAAACTGATATGTTTTAAAATCTTGCTACTTGAAGTGTATGAGACATGAACCAGTAGCCTCAGCATTACCTAGGAACTTTTTATAAGTGCAGCGTCTGAGCTTCTGAATCTGAATCTCAGATTCTGAATCAGAATTTTCATGTTAACAAGATCCTAAAGTGATTAATATCCACATGAAAGTTTGAAAATCCCTAATTGAAGTCATATTGGAGTTGAACTAACTGTAATAACTTTTGTTTTATTGACTTGTTGTGGCATTAGTTTGATTTACTGGCACAAAGCCTTAAGTGATCAAAACTACCTAAGCATACTAGAATAAACTCACCAGGCTTGAAAATGTTACCATGAATATTTCACTAAGTATTGTCATTTGTCCTGTTGAGCCTGTAAATTATATTTCAGACAGTAATAAAGCTAATCAATATGGCAATTAGAGAAAGGCGCAGTGATAATAACTATATTCTCTGGATTTGCTAGAATGGGTTCGTTATTTGATCTGCTTGGCATTGTCTTCATAATATTCATATTTACTGCATTTAAATTAGGGGATAGGTTGGGGCCTGGTAACAGAGATTGAAATTGGAGATATTCCTTAAAATTTATCTGAGATGGAACTCTTCAGGATCCAGTTATTTTATATATTATATAAATTATAATAAATGGAATGATAGCTACAGAACTTTAGTATGAGCAAAATGCTGGGCTAGATTGCTTGATTTCTGGATGGCTGAGATTGGGCACAGAGCAGGGACAAGGGAGGAGGTAAAGGGAAGACAAATAAAAATAAGAGTGCTTATTTGTGGGAGAGAATATCTACACAATTATGTAAGAGCAAATAAAGACCAGAGTGGAAGAGAGAGCTGCGCTCAGAACTGTCTAGGCTCAAAATGCCAAGTTGACAACTGTTCTGCCCTAATCCTATCTTCAGTCTGCACAGTTGAAGACTTTGGCCCTTATGGTGGGATGGTCCTGATGACTGAGAGAAAAGTAGGAATTAAGTGGTGGTATTTTCAGAAGCTCCACCTCTTAAGAATTAAAGAAGAAAAATTAGTCACTGGAGACTTCTATGGGGCCATCTTAGAATGGAAATACAGATTTGCAGAAAGTCTTAAATATCTTCATCTTTTCATATAGACTAGGAAGTAAGACTCTGAAAACTTTCTTTTCTGGAAACTATTTGAAATATTGATGCATGTTAATCTTGCATGTTTCTTCATGTTATTGTTGTTAGCTTGATTCCAACTCATGGCGACCCCATGCGTACTTATTTTCAAGGCTGTGACCTTTCGGAAGCAGATTGCCAGGCCTGTCTCCTGAAGAGCCTCTGGTTGGGTTCAAACTGCCAACCTTTCGGCTAGTAGTTGAGCAGTTCACCATTTGAGTCATCCAGGGACTCGTATATTTCCCCATAGATATAGTTTCACAAACTCATAGGACCATTACTTTAAAATGATTATTCAGACATCTCTATTTCCCCATAGATACCTGAATAATCATTTAAAAGTAATAGTCCTATGAGTTTGTAAAACTATATCTATATTGGCTACTAATTTAGTTATTTCTCTTTACCCACCCCCCTTTCCCTTCCATCCTAGCCCTGCCACCAGCACACATACAGCATGTTTAGTAGAAGAAGTTCAAATGTCTTACGCTTGGTTCTCTAGAGAGGCAAAACCAGTAAGGTATATAAATATATATAGAGAGATTTATGATAAGGAAATGGCTCATGCGGTTGTAGAGGCTGGAACATGGGTCAGGCTGGAGGCTTCTCTTGATTCACAAAGGTGCAAGGGCTGGTGAACCCAAGATCTGCAAGTCAGACAGCAGCTCTCTGGCTCAAAGGCTGCAAAGAGTAACCTATCCAAAGATTGGCAGGCAAGACAGCAGGTAAGCTGCTAGCTCAAGTCCCAAGAACCTGGGGTCAGATGAACAGGAGCCACCTGCAGGATCCAGTGTGAGCAAAAGCCCATGAGCCTTGCCAGAAGGTCCACTTATATTGGATGCAGGCCACACCCCCAACGAAACTCCCTTTCAACTGATTCGCTACTCACAGCAGATGCCATCATGGAGGTGATCACATTATATCAAATCTTATCATGGAGGTGATCACATCATCATACAACTGCCAAACTACATTTTAACTGCCAAACCACTGAGAATCATGGCGCAGCCAAACTGACACACAACCTTAATGATCACATCAAGTAAACCATGGGAGTATCAGTGGAGTGACCAAATAAACTAAGGGTTGCTTGAGGAGTCCCTGAGTGGCACAAATGGTTAAGTGCTCAGCTGCTAACCAAAAGGTTGGCAGTTCGAATCCCCCCAGAGGTGCCTTGGAAGAATAGGCCCAGTGATCTACTCCTGAAAGGTCACAGCCATTAAAAACCCTATGGAGCACAGTTTTACTCTGAAACACATGGGGTCACAATGAGCCAGAATAAACTCTATGGCAACTGGTTGGTTGATAAGGTCCCTTTGATACAGAGATTTCTCCAGCAAAGATTTTTATTGGTATGTGTTATTTTGCTGTATTATTTAAGAATATTCATCTTGGCTAATAAGAAAAACAAATAAGGAAGATAGATGTATGCAAGTAAGTAGCAAGTGTGACTTGTTAGATATAACAGAGCATTTGCTTAACATATGAAGGGATGGGATTATCAAGTAGGCATTCATTATACATGATCCACTAAATGTACATAATATACTACGTTTACATGAGCCATAGGGACATCTTACTTGTTGTCCCCTGCCTGAAGCATACAGAAAAAAAAAATCATGGCTATTCATCAGGTCCCTGGTTCTCTATAGTTGTGCCCAGTCATAACTGCCCCTGTGATTCCAGAATAACAAGGCCAGATTTTGGCCCCAGGCACCTTCTGTACTTTGGACCCCCTTATTCTCACCTCAATTCTGATATTCATATCTTCAGCATCAGTAATGAAGGCTGATGCAACAGAAGGAGAGACAGTACATATGAATATTTGGTATTCCAGGATTCAGGTATAATGGAACCCTATCCTAAGTGTGTAAACCTATCCCCATCTTCTCCCATAGCTTCTCACTGTGAGTTTTAAATTGATTAGTAACATGTTATTTAAACTTCTTAAGCTGATCTCTGAACTTTTCTGTCCTAAGACCTCTAGGATAGCTTGCATAGTAGTGTACTTGGAGTATACCATTGCATCAAGGTAATCTCTTACTCAACACTACAGTTCTTATATTGGATTATAAACAACACGTTTCTGTTTGTTTAAAGTAAGTCAGTATGCAACATATGAAGATTTTAACTGGTTAATTAAATAAGTAACAAATTACAAATATCATAAACAATATAAAGCCCAGGTGGCAAATGAGTTTCTTCTAG